TTCGATTTAAAGGTGAAAAACGGTCTAAAATTGAACTATTTACAACCCATTCAGGTGTTTCATATTTTAAAATATTTTTTGTGACTTTCATAAACTTGTAGCATTAATTCATTCGAAGAGAATCTATCTCCAAAATAGTTTGTAATATGAGCAGTTGCCGAGAAATGGTCAATTTTGCAAGTGTCACTTTTTACGCTATTTTGCCTGTAAAAGAGTCAATTATTATTAGATTATCATAAAATGGATACCATTTGATGAATAATGTCAATTGTGACTAGGTCAAACCAATTTAACATTTTCAATATCATCAGAAATGACGTAATTTGGGCAAAAACTATATTTATAGCTTTCGAAACAAATAATTTATTCAGGCGAGTCGTATTTGTTATTTATTTAAAATTTGGATATTTGATTCCAATCAACTAATAGAATGAACCCTTGGGATCATATAGATATCATAAAATGGTTTCTAACTTGTTCAGTTGCGGAGAAATAGGCGATTTTCAACAGGTCACGTTTCAAGGTTTTTGGTCCATAAAAGTGTCAATTATTATTTGATTTTCATAAAATGTTCACTGTGTGATACTTAATGCCATTTACGATTTCATACAAGTAATTTAAGATTTTCATTATCACCGGAAGTAACGTCATTTTGGCAAAAACTGTATTTATAGCCTTCAAAACAGATATTTCATTCAAATGAGTCTGATTTGTAATGTTCTTAAAATTATGATATTTGATTCCAATCAACAAATAGATTGAACCCATACGATCATACAGATACCAGAAAATGGTTTCTAACTTGTACGGTTGCAGAGAAATAGACGGTTTTCTACAAGTCACTTTTCAAGGTTTTTGGTCTATAAAAGTGGCAATTATTATTCGATTTACATAAAATTTTCACCATGTGATGCCTTATGCCATTTCTGATTTCATAAAACTAATTGAGCATTTTCATTATCACCGGAAGTACTGTACACTTACATGTAACAAATGGATAAAATGAATTGATATTGCTGGATTTGGTTGATTTGGCGTCCATTTTATTTGATGTGTGCAATGCTTATGTGGAAACTTGTTTAATGGTTTCATTGGTACCAGAAGTGACATATGTTTAGGGTAACGTGGCACCGGTGAAACCCGTCATTACTGCTTTGCAGTTCTAGTTATTATTATTATTATTATTTTTCCACTTGAGCATATCTCAGAAACTACTTGACGGATCGATTCGATGTCTTCGGTTTTACTGGGAAAGTGGGTTTGACTTAAATTTTAAAGCTATTTCTAACGTTCTGCGACAATGCGAAATGTCCGAAATCACCGAAGTTGTCGTTTTTAGAAATTTTGCCGTAATATTATCAATAATTGTCGGATCGTAATATTTGATACATTTTGACATAGCCGGAGACAAGGCACATAGCTACAGTTCTTGACATTTTTTATTTTTGATGAATTTTCGGAGATATTAGGCGTCAAATTTTGAAAATTTAAATTTTTACGAAAAACTTTTTTATTAATGAATATTTTTATGTGGTATTTTACCTAGAGTTAAAGAGTCATCTGATTTGACCAAAAATGGCAACATTTTTTGTCACCATATTTTTCCTTGGTCCCCATTGGCTAATTCAGTTTTTCAGTCCTGGATTAATTATTTATTGTTAGATTTGTATAAAACAAAGTTCATATGCTCTGTGGTCCAAACTGTCATTTTTATTGTTACCAGTACATTTTCTATTCGATAACGGATGTGACGTAAATTTAGCAATTTTGACAGTTCGGTACCACTTTTTGAAAGCAAATATTATTTTTTTCAAATCTGGTATGACTGAAAGGGTTTGCCCTGTTAAGGCGCAGAAATCATTGCGCTCAGTTTTTTTAATTTTTATTTCGTTTTCGGATCATTTCGATTTAAAGGCGGAAAAAATTGAAAAAATGAGCTATTCAAAACCCATTCAGGCTTTTCATAATTTAATATATTTTTTTGAAACTTTCATAAACTAGTAGCAATAATCCATACGAAGAGAATGTATGTGAAAATTAGTTTGTAATATGAGCAGTTGCCGAGAAATGGGCAATTTTACATGAGTCACCCTTTACGCTAGTTTGCCTGTAAAAGAGTCAATTATTCGATTTTCATAAAAGTGACACCATTTGATGCGTAATGTCAGTTTTAACAAGGTCAAACCAATTAAACCGGAAATGACGTAATTTGGGCAAAAATTGTATTTATAGCCTTCAAAACCAGTATTTTATTCAAATGAGTCGTATTTGTTATTTGTTTAAAATTTTGATATTTGATCCCAATCAACCAATAGAATGAACCCATACGATCATATAGGTATCACAAAATGGTTTCTAACTTGTTCAGTTGCCGAGAAATAGATGATTTTCAACAGGTAACTTTTCAAGGTTTTTGGTCCATAAAAGTGTCAATTATTATTATTGTTCGATTTATTGTTCGATTTATATAGCGCTTCATTACACGTGAAGTGTTTCTAAGCGCATATCACAAACATATACTTCAAACACACAGAAACAATCAAAATCAGGAGAACATAATTAAACATTATTATTCGATTTTCATAAAATTTTCACCGTGTGAAACCTAATGCCATTTACGATTTCATACAAGTAATTTAACACTTTTACTGTCACCGGAAGTAATGTCATTTTGGCAAAAACTGTATTTTTAGCCTTCAAAACAGATATTTTATTCAAATGCGTCTAATTTATAATGTTTTTCAAATTATATTTGATTCCAATCAACAAATAGATCGAACCCATACGATCATACAGATACCAGAAAATGGTTTCTAACTTGCACGGTTGCAGAGAAATAGGCGATTTTCTACAAGTCACTTTTCAAGGTTTTTGGTCTATAAAAGTGGCAATTATTATTCAATTTACATTCAATTTTCACCATGTGATGCCTTATGCCATTTCTGATTTCATAAAACTAATTGAACATTTTCATTATCACCGGAAGTACTGTACACTTACATGTAAAAAATGTATAAAATGAATTGATATTTAAAGGGTTTTAGATCTTTTAAAACATGTTGTAAGTTGCATCAAAATCCTATAAAAACTTTAAAAGGTTTTGCAACCTAAATATAAGATTTTTCATACAATCAGGGGCCATAATCCGGGAAGCTGGGTTCATGCAAATATCAAAAGGAATGAAGATCTTGGGGTTATAAACATAAACTATTAGCGAACAGTCAGCAGTCATTTTATTGGGCAGTTCATAATTAAATAATAATAATATCGTCATTTATATAGCGCGTTAATACTGAAGAAAACAGTTTCTAAGGCGCTGTTGGTTTTTATATTCAATGATTATTTACGGTTTTGAAATAGGAATGTTTTGAGTTGAGATTTAAAATGGCCCACAGACGGTGATTGTTTTATTGATTGTGGTAGTCTATTCCATAGAAAGGGACCAGCATAAGAAAAGGCACGTTTTCCAAGTTGTAAGTTAATGGCTTGAGATTTTAGAAGATGTTTTTCTGAAAACGGAGATTTCTGCTGGTAGTATAGGGTTCTACAAGACTTTTTATATAAGATGGAGCTTGGCCGTTTAACGCATTGAAGACGAAGTGGAGTAACTTGAACTTAATTCTTTGCTGAATTGGGAGCCAATGTAAAGATAGCAATACAGGGGAGATGTGTTGATGTTTTCTAGTTTTAGTGAGGAGTCGAGCTGCTGAATTTTGAACATGTTGTAGTTTGTTAATCTGATAGTCTGGTAAGCCATATAGTAAACCATTGTGGTAATCTAGTTTAGTTGAGATGAATGCGTGAATGAGTTTTTCTTTATTTTCATAATTGAGATAGCTTTGGATCTTTCCAATTCGATGTACAGTGCACTCTGTCACATTCGAACTCTGATCACTCTGGCACTCTGTCACATCCGACACCATTTTCATGTCCCGATTTATTTCCTTATTACTTCAGCTAAAAAATCTCTGGGTAATTCGACCTCTGAACGTTCCGGATTACGACATCAAATCAGCCGTCCCGTCATACGATTTCCATTGAATCGACACCGTATAATCCGGCCTTCAATCGGTGGGTGTGAAGCAAACACTTACCGATCAATTATCCGTGAGATTAAAACTGGATGGGTGTGAAGCCACAAAAGATTAACAAGCAATCACCAATCAATTATCTGTGAGATTAAAACTCGCTACCTTTGTTGGTCTTTGTTGATTACTTTGATAATTTTAATCTCTTGTACGACAGTTGTGACAAATACTCAAGAATATCCACAAATTTTTATCCCGAATTCACAGTCGTTAAAATATTCCTAGCACATGTTGGAAACATTCGTTGCGCATGCGGATTGAACCTGAATAACCTGTAAGTTTGGTAATCCTACGGATCTCTTCAAACCGTGTGACGACGACCTGGGGATGCTCGATCCACAGTCCGGAACGTCCCGAATTGACAGAATTGCAATCGAGTGACGCAGAATTCAGTCCCGACGACGGAGGGTTAGTGAGTAGAATTGTGATGTAATTTTCACCCAATTGTCACTATTTTTCGGGATTGAGAGAATTCAATTCCGGAACGTACAATCGAGTACGCCCATTATCAACGAACACGTGATATCAAAGACAAGAGTGGGATCAATTGAAGACGGTGAAGAAGATAAATTAACGACACACTTGACTTAGTCACTATTTTTGGGATTGAGAGAATTCAATTCCGGAACGTTCAATCGAGTTCGCCCATTATCAATGAACACGTGATAGCAAAGACAAGAGTTCGATCAACTGAAGACGGTGAAGAAGATAAATTAACGACAGACTTGACCTATTTAAAATGCCTACGCATGTTAAATGAAATAAAAATTAATGTAATACAATTTTGAATGTACAGAAATCATTTTTAAAGGGAATAACATTCTGGTGATTCGAAGTTCTATGTTCGAAGCTAGTTGGGCACTGACGTGTTTTAAATTTAAAATGTGAAATTTCTGAAACCAATCAACTTACAATAAACAGGAAGAGTTACAGATGGACTGACGACCCTACCGTCTCTACAGGTCCAGGTTCCAGCATCAGTTGATGTAACATTAGTTATATTAAGATACAGGGTTCTCATGTTACCATTCATACAACCACATGTATATCTGGTATCTGATGATGATTCTTGACATGTTAATAATAATACTCTACAGATTCTGTCATTACCAATGTTAAACGACACACCTTGAGGTATATTATCAACAGATATCCGACATGTAAATCTATAATCCCCTCCTCTAATACCATATGGTGATGATCCTGATAAATTGTATGTTTGACCTGCAATACAAGAAAGAGGTGACATGCTTCATTTTCCCTAGTAAATTTGATAAAATATTACCACCAGACAGGGAATATGATAAGCGGTATCGCATCGCAGTTTGCTAAATAAAAATGACGTAAGTGCGAATCAGATATTAATTTGACTAGCAAAGATTTGTCAAATTTAAGGGAATCTGCGTATCAAGTTTCTTGTCCCAAATCAAGCGTGAAAAATGTTTAACAAACATGATTAACCGTTACACTGCGTACATACATTCTAGTCCCTTTGATGTCGGTCAAAGATTAGTCAATAAACTAATTGTAAGCTAATTGTTTAACAGTCATTCAGTTCTCGATCTAATTAAGTAATTAGTACAGACGTTAAATTTGATAATCCTGTAAATATACAAGCTTGATAATTATTCACAAAAGAATTATTTTTATCTCTAACCATTTTCCTTCATAAGAATTGACCACGTGTTCCCATCTGCCATCTCATTTGCAATCACACAATATTTTAATCATTTTCCATTCATTGAACAGCAAAATATATCCATCCAATGCGCACACTGTTATTAGCTATACACACTAGTTTAAAGATACATTCAATGTGGGCGTATAAAAAGCATCGAAATCTTTGAGATATCAACCCATACTTAAAGTTTCGTCAAAATCAGTTAAAATCTATGACCTGTGGAATGCCCACAAACAAAAGTAATGGGGGCGGCGACAAAATACGTCCACATGAAAATGTGACCGTATGAAAAGAGTGGTGTCTTTATTGATCACTTATTAACAAACTATACATGAATTTGTAGTGTATTAATTGGGCTATGAGATGTAATATTTCGTTTTGCATCAATTCCCAGGGGTTGTGAAGAATCAAAAGGTCACATGATCGATTGATTGCCTTTAACATTGTCCTTTCTTACATTTTCATAGCATCAAATGGAAAAGTGCTTCTTGAATTCTGAAAGAAGATATCTCTGGGCAGTTTTTGAAACAATAATAAATCGTTAATCCCAGTGTGAGCGCTAGCCACTCGCCACTTCGCCAATGGGGATTTTCCATCATCTGTGGCAATAATTATTGTTAAAAAGTCGCCACTTTGGCAAAAAGGCCCATGTGGTCCTGTTGGTTCCTTGTTTCTAACTCGTGCGCTTGCCTTTTTAACACAAACAAATAACCAAGAAACCCATTAAAAATTGCTAAAATAATGTTAGACGAAAGAATATATAGACGGGCGACATTGTACTGTGACCATTAGTAATCATTTTTTTCATTGACAGAAATTATCATATTATTCATGTATTGTCCAATCATGTCTTGTGTACTGAATTACACACAATTTACAAAATGGCTAGAGATGTTGCATTCTTCGATACTTTTGCTTCAGCAACTAATCTATCATTCATAATTATCCACGTCACACATTATCCATATGTACACAATTCCCTTAAATTGTTTTGGTATTTATTTAGATCCATATGAATATCGTGATATTAAACAGTTCTATTTCTTCAACGTCGGTATGACTAGAAATTCTCCTGAATTCCGAATCTACTTTTAGTCCTTGCATTTTAACTCAGTTTCGCACCATTCCGGGCAGTTGCTGCAATAGAAATTCTGACCACGTTTTATGGTCGGTCTACACGTATATTATCACCCCCAAAAAAGTCCCAGTCCGAAATCCGTGCCCAAATTTTGTAATCCTCTGTGAAACAGATTGCGTCCCTCGGTGTCGGGGCATGCACCAAAAAGGAATAAATATCCTAAGTTCCAAGATGATCTATTCAGAATTGTAGCCTGTACACAATCAACACCAAAACTGGGCATTTAAAAAACAATTAGCAATTTTCCAATCTTACCGTTATCTATTCCCGGTATGTTACACAAAATTACATGATGTATATTACCCGGAGCAAAATATGAGATATAAAATGGATGAAGTTTTAGCTATAAGCATGACATAATTTGAAAAATATCAAAAATGTTGTACAACTTGACCCCCATTAGTAAAAAACTTAATACTTCGAATGAACATTATGGTACACCAAGGCTGTTCAGAAGTGAAAATCTTCTATAGACTAAATTCGAAAATATGCCAAATAAAAGAAAAAAAAATATCTAAAGTTTACTTCTTCTGCGATATTCTGACATTCATTCTTGAAAGTACTTGACAACTGAAGCAATATAGTAAAATGCATACAATTCAATATGCGCAAATATCGAAAGGAACCGAGATCCTAGTGTTATAAACTTACATTTCAAGTTTCAACAAAATCCGATAAAGATAGGTTGCCAGGCAACAAAACATACGCCCACAGCAGCTATATCGTTCGGGCAGTTAACAAGAGTTGTCGCATATTTTTACTTTTTTCGGTGATGAAACATTTATAATACATTAAAATCTGATAATCAGTAACAACTCATTAAGTAATTATCAGAATACCATTAAAATTTGTTTGGTTTTAATAAAGTTCTGCCCCATGCTAACGTTTAGTATACGAAACTTTTAACATCATGGATTTAGCTGTTCAAGTCATAAAGATTCATTGAAAATCAATATACTTGTTTGACTCAAGACATTAAACATTTTGTATAAATTAAAAGTCAATCGGATATTAACAAGATTTTTCAAAGTGATCAAGAGCCATAACTCTGGCAAAAAATATCGGAAATCGCTGAAAAAATCAATAGAATACTTCGTCTCGTGACCTTAAACACAGTGTATCAATTTAAAGTCAATCGGATATTAACTTTAGCCTCTAGAGCATCCACAAGATTTTTCAAAGTGATCAAGGACCATAACTCTGGAAGTAATTACCGGAAATCGCTGAAAATCAATAGGATTCTTCGTCTCATGACCTTAAACACTGTGTATCAATTTAAAGTCAATCGGATATTAACTTTAGCCTCTAGAATGTCCACAAGATTTTTCAAAGTGATCAAGGGCTATAACTCTTGCAGTAATTATCGGAAATCGCTGAAAATTAATAGGCTTTTTCGTCTCATGACCTTAAACACTGTGTATCTTGTGGACGCCGGACGGACGGGGGCGACAACAATATACGATCATATTTCAATATGGGCGTATAAAAATTGTGACCTCTACAGGGTCCAAAACCTTGATATATCATATTTTTACGATATTTGAGAACCAATGGCGGCCATTTTGTCTGTCAATTTTGGGCCGTTTTTCACGAAATTAGAACTCTGCCGTCCTTAGGGTGTAACAGTAATAAAATAATATGTTTTTTTAAGTCGGATAAAAATTATGACCTCTATAGGGTCCACAAGCTAAAAACGCGATATTTCGTACAATCATGTGCCATAATTCAGGAAGTTACGGTAGGAATATCGAATGGAACCGAGATCTTTGTGTTATAAACTTACATTTCAACTTTCAACAAAATTGGATTAAAATTGTGACCTCTCTAGGGTCAACAACCTTGATATACCATATTTTTATGCTATTCGACAATGAAGGGCGGCCATTTTGTCTGTCAGTTTTGGGCTGATTTTCACGAAATTTGATTTTAGCAGTCCTTAGGTTTTAATGGTGATATAATAATAAGTTTTTTTAAATCGAAAGGAACCAAGATCTTTGGGTTATAAACATGCATGTCAAGTTTCATCAAAATCGGATCAAAATTGTGACCTTTATAGGGTCCACAAGCTAAAAAAGTGATTTTTCGTACATGCCAATATCGGAAGCAGCCGAGATCTTTTGGGGATAAACCTATACTTCAAATTTCGTCAAAATCGGATAAGAATTGTGACCTGTAGAGAGTCCACAAACAATTCCAGTTATTGTGTCATACATCACCGGAAAGTAGGTTTTTATGGCTCTTTAAATCTACTTGTTATTTTCTGGCACATTCATGATTACATACTTTAGAAGATATATAGGCATATTTTTTTTGAGCAAAGAAATGGGTTCTAAAAATAGACTACTTTCAATTCCTTTTATTTATCGAAGGCTCGGATTAGCCCATACCGAGCATGTGATATCACTGAAGTCATGGTCATCCAGCGAATTTGTAAGTGACGGCCAGCTTGATTTGGCTTTAGTGAAGGGTGAGTATTCATAGTGAAGGATGAGAAAGTGACGGCTGACTTGATCTCGGCCGCTCCATGTGTGAGGACTTGTGTCCTGTTTGCATTATTCAGAAGTGCCTGGATAACACATGACTGTGCAGCGCGTGCGCAGTGACATTTCCGTGTTACTTTCAGTTTGTTTATTCTAGTCTGGTGACAATGAGTCTTAGCCGTTCATGGGTCTGTGTTGATTATGTTTGATTGTTTTTTTGTTACTGTATTCGACATTTATGTACTAAATATGGATATCATAGAGTATAGACATAACCACAACTTAACACCATTTGTATATGCCGTGGAATTATAGGATGGGTTGTTGTTTTTATATTTTCGTGTGATCAAATAGATAGGCTACTATTACTAAGTAAATGGCTTGACTTTTCACCTGCAAATGATACATTGTATTAGCAATGCAAAAGCTTTTTTAAATTTTTGAATCGGACTGAAACTGAATATTTACTAGTTTTTCAACCCCTCTCCCATTTAAGAAACCCCACCAAAAATTCAAAATCGATTAAGAAATAAAAAAGTTATTGCACTTTTATGACCCAAAATTGATCGATGTCAGTATACAATTTTTTTAAATTTGCAAAAAAAGTGACCGAAGACAATTTCTCAGCAACCACTGAAGATAAAGGCATCAAATTTTCAGGAAACATCCTTCCAACCATTAACTTTTAAATTGGAATTGATAAATTTTTAATTAAGTAATTTTAATTACTTAAGGCGTTTCGATTTTAAGCCAAATTACCACTTTACCGAGAGCCGTCTATTAACTTACGGGGGAGTAGTAATGCAATTTAATGCTGTTTACTTTTCATGTCTTGTAATTAGTGTCATCTAATTGCCCAGTGTCATCTAGAAACTTAAGGCGTTTGTTTTTGTGTGAAATATTTAATTTCTGTCTCCCAATTG